CAGCATCAGTTTTCTTAACAGTAGCACTAAACGCTTGACAACAATGAAGCAATGCCTTCAATATTCTTAGGGAAAAATGTTTTCAACCTAGAATTCTGTACTATCCAGACACTAAGTCAAATGTGACAACGGAATACATATTTCCAGAATGCAAGGATTCAGAACTATTACCTCTTATGCACCCTCTGTTAGGAAGTTACTTATGGATTTACTATGGCACTATGACAGAGTAAACAAAAAAAAGAGTACAGGCTATGAGATCCAGGAAACCATGGAAGAGCCAAGAACAGCCCAGCTTGCAATAGGAAGATACAAGTTTCTGGGAGGTAAAGTACATAGAAAATGGAGAACTCATTTTAAGACCTCATTTGTTTGAAGTTTCTTTATTTCAAGAGAGAGAGAAAGAGAGGAAGACAAACATCCTCAACAGGGCCTCATGCAGTGACCTCAGTCTCCCTACCTCCTGTCTTTCCCAGTCAGCCAGGATCACAGATGAATGTGACCAATGTATACAGATCGACCCAAGAACCAAACCCTGATCTCCATATGGCTCCAGCACTGTGAAGCACTGCCCTACTACTGTACCACTGTAAGTTGGCCAGAAGACCTCATTTTTAAAGCATACTTTAAAAGAAAGAAAGAAATGTTACATTGCAGAAATACAATGAAAGAAAATTCAGTCAGAAGATGAGACATCTTAGGCTGAATACTCCCTGAAGATGTTGATATTCTAATGCCCAGAACCTGTGAATGAGACTTTGCAGATGAACATGATTAAACTAAGCATCATGAGATGGAAAGATTACTGTGTATTATCTGGGGTGGGCCCAATTTGATCACAAGGATCCTATAATAGAGCAAGAGGGACAAGGACAGGAGAAGGCAATTTGATAATGGAAGAAGAGAGAAAAAGATTGGAAGATCCTGTTATGCTACTGGCTTTAAAGACAGAAGATGAGGTCAAGGGCCAAAATACAGAGGTGGCATTTAGAAGCTAAGAAATATAAGAAAATGGAGACAGACAGCTCCATGGCTCCTGCGATCTAGCCATTTGGGGAGAAAGGAAGATGTCCCACTGATAACTGGGCCTCCAGCATCCAAAACTCACGTGAACAGCCATTCCTCAAGAGACAGACAGCTCCATGGCTCCTGCGATCTAGCCATTTGGGGAGAAAGGAAGATGTCCCACTGATAACTGAGCCTCCAGCATCCAAAACTCGCGTGGTAGGAAGATCCCTTTCAAGTCTCCTGTCTCTATCTGCCTTTGTCTCTCTCTACATCTGTCTCTGTCCTCTCTCTCACTCTCGCTCTCGCTCTCTCTTTTTTTAATTTTTTTACTTTTTAGAATTTTTTTAAGGTGAGGCATTTTACAGGGCCCTTTGGCCCCTCCTACCTAGCCCTTTATCTTGTTAATAATCCCCTCTCCTCCTCCCAGAACAGCCCTTCTTCAAGAGACAGACAGCTCCATGGCTCCTGCGATCTAGCCATTTG